TCTACAAACGCTAAGAGAAGACTGGCAACCTTCTTTGTCTCCGCTGGCATCCCACCATAAACGGACCACCAATTAGAACAAACCAAGCCAACTAAAGTTCGCCTTATCTACGGTGTTTATTCGCGAACTTACGGCGATATTTTTGTTGGTGAGTCATTTTCGCTTTCAAGAGGTAAATGGGAGCTTCCGAGGCTGTGAAAATTTCGCCTCTGTCCAAGCGACTCAACGATGCACGTTAACTTGACGCGCTTTGCGCCTGGAATTTTATTTACGCTTAATATGATTGATTGGTTTTTTACTTTTTATTGGGTAGAACTGTTGTAAAAATACACTTGTAATAGGCAAAAATATAAATACAAAAAGTCGTTCGTTCCTTTATTTTAAGGGTGAGGCGCGGCCTCAGAGGCCTACCCTGACGAGCCGCCACTGCCCTGTACAGGCCCATTCCTGGGGTGTATGGCGCCTACGTGCAGCATTCGTTGGTGCGCCCCTTTTATATTTAAATATAATACATTAAATATTTTTATTTTAAGCCCTTAAATTTAAAAAATATATATTTTGCGACAAACTGTCAATATGGAATTGAAAATTTAAAAAACAAACCGCTTAATTTAAGTTTAAAAAATATTTATTAAATTACCAAACAAACAAAATCACAAAAAATATTCAGTGATAAAAATACTCTAAAGAAAAGTGTGACGTACTCTCTAAAAATGAATGAGTCAAAAATGACTAGTTTTTTAAAGTAAAAAAGCAGTCACTAATAACTTTAGTCCACAGCAATTTGGATCCCGGACAGTTAACAGCTTATTATTATTTAAAATTATGAAAATAAAGCAGTGTTTAAGATATAGTCAATTCCATATTATATGGATAATTTACTAAATCTTAAAAACGTGCTACTTTTTTTTAACTTTTGACGACATTTTCGTATTTAGCAGACAATTTTACATGTTGACTATTTCTATAGACGATAATTATTAGTCGCTGCTTTTTCGCTATGGCATTTAGACTAATTGAATTAGTCATTTTTGACTAATTCTATTTTAGAGAGTAAGCTCGTTACAAAGTCATGTACTGTGTAGACTACTCTTAAACTTTGCTACCGTCAACTGCAACTATCAAACAAATACTAAAAATGTCTCCTTTTATTTTGATCCTCATATAAAAAAAATAAGCCGCCAATATCAAAGCGGCAAAAGGCGCTTTATAGCGCATAAAAGGGCGGTAACCTTTATCCTATGTATGTTTAAGTATTATATGCAAGAAAGTTTATCGTTACAAAGTACTGATTGACTATTTGATTTTGCGCCCCCAAAATGTTGCGCCTGTGTGCATGCACGCACTGCACGCTCGCCAGGAACGGGCCTGACCCTGTATACCAAAAAAGTAAATTTAAAATAAAAAAGTGGGTAAATCATTATCTTTGTATCAACGTATCTATGGTATTTGGAAATCCCCAAATAATTCAATAAAACATTTACTGACACATTTTAATTTTTTGATGCAAAATCAAAACTTTATTAACTTAATCAAGTTTTAGTTTTTTAGTAATAGTTAAAAAAATATAAGAGAACTTGTTTTATTTATTATAATATCTCAACAAGACTAGTAATAAAAAAGTGACCTCACCAGTTACGGGTTAAAAAATAGATATACTCGTATTATATAAACATGTATTTGTATAAGGGTATCCGCTATTTTCCAAATTGTTTTTTAACTTGGTTGTATTAGTCAAATTATTTGTTTAGTCCAAAAACAATTTTAATGGGCTACAAGCCTACAAAACCTTTTTTTAATTTAACCGACCTTGTAGCTCTTCAAAAAAAAATAGAAGTATAAGAGATACATCAAAGGATACTTACTTAAGAATTAAAATAAAAATTTTGCATTTTTATTTTTTTACCACCTAATATTGCTAAACACGACACATTTTTTAATACCTTAGTAACTATTCTAATTTTAAAACAGTTTGCAAGTTTGTATTGAGTATAATTAAATATATTATATTAATTAAAATAAAAAGCATAAGAATGTTCAAGAGGTGAAATATATTATTTTAAAAATTATAATATACCAGTATACAGCAGTGGCGGCTGGTGGATTTTGGGTATACCAATATTTCAGTTATTAGACATGGGAACCACACCAAATTTATAATAGTTTATAATGACATTAAATAGACAAGTTGGGCGCAAACAGAATTTAAATTGAAGTTTTCGAAAAAAAGTTAGTTTTTCCTGTCGCCTCACCCGCCTCCAACCTGTAATATCTGGATTTTTTAAATAAAATTTTTAATTTTAAATAAATTATAGTAGATTATAAATTGCACCACTTTAATTTGAATTATCTCAAATAGCGGGGCCTGGAGGCGGGTGAGGCGACAGGAAAAACTAACTTTTTTCGCAAACTTCAATTTAAATTCTGTTTTCGCCGAACTTGTTTATTTAATGTCATTATAAACTATTATAAATTTGGTGTGGGTCCCATGTCTAATAACTCAGATATTGGTATACATAAAATCCACCAGCCGCCACTGGTATACAGTGTGTCCCCGGATCGGATTTCCGACAGGAAAACTTTTTTAGACCTGATACAGCTAAACCGAGCACAGATTTGGAATCTACGACCAAAAATTATGTTTACGTGTCCGAGGGTTTAGCTGTGATATTTCAAAAGTTGAAAATTTACCTACAGTGTAATTGAGAGAAGTTACGTATATTAGTATTCGTGATTTTTTTTTACTTGAATGGGTGTGTTGAATTAAGGTTGTAAAGTAACTCTTCAATAACATTTTTAGTAGTGTCGTCTGGAAAGCTAATACAATTTCCCTTAATGTTTAGTCTAAACAAGTTATTACTATATATTAAAAACAATAATGGACCCATGATTGTACCTTGCGGAACTCCATATTCGGGTGTTAGGGGTTTGCTAAAATTATTACCTATTTTAATATACTGGATTTGATTACTTAAGTAGCTTTTTATTAGGTATAATATTTGTCCTGTTGTATCTAAATCTTCAAGTATTTGAATAAGTTTTGCACAGTTAGACAAAAAAAGTGCTCTTTTAGTTCCACCATTACTTCCTAAGAAGTCCCAGAAGCCAACTGAATGGCTTGTGCGGGTTGGGGGTAGGAACGGGACGCGGGCTTAAATTCCCCTCCGAAGGACTAATTATTATTATTAATATACATGTATAATGGGACAAACACAGATACAAATACAGTTAGACAGTACCTATTAAAAGTTTTTGCTAGATCAAGGAAAATAGCTATTGTGAGATTTCCTTTGTCCACTGCTAAGAGTTATGCAAAAAGAATGTTGAGTGGACTTATATCAGAAATAATTAAAATGTTTAAAATAAAATTGTCTAATCTGTTTTTTATTAGGCTTTCAAATATTTTTTTAAAGTCTGTTATAAGAGAAATTGGTCTATACTATTGATGGGATCCAGCTTGTTACCCTTTTTGTGAATGTTTATAATTATCAATAATTACACTAGGCAACAAATTTTAACTTAAGAAAAAGGTCCTGGTTAAAAATAGAATTTTTCGATTGTTTATGACTGAAATAGATCCAAAATGTTTATAAAAAAAATTTCTGAAGTCGGAAATAAAAAATAGGAGCACAGTATTTTGGTACCATTTATTGCATAGATTTGAAAATTTTAGGATGACGTTACTTTTAACTTATATTTCAGCATTCCATGAACAACATATCTGTCATATTGTAAAAATTTAAGGCATGTTTTTTTGATGTTTACTGTTTTTTATCGTTCGAATTATTTTGTTTACTTATTTTTATCGTTATTATTTAACAATTTTTTTTTGTATCATGGTGCTGCCCGTATAGTCTAAACGAGACTTTGGAAAATTTTTTGGTCGCCGGATTTGCGTCGAGCAGGTGAAAATCTATAGGACTGTGCTATTTTTATTACCGACCTTTTTTATTTACTTATTTTTATCGTTATTATTTAACAATTTTTCTTTGTATCATGGTCCTGCCCGTATCGTCTAAACGAGACTTTGAAAAAATTTTTGGTCGCCGGATTTGCGTCGAGCAGGTGAAAATCTATAGGAGTGTGCTATTTTTATTACCGACCTTTTTTATTTACTAATTTTTATCGTTATTATTTAACAATTTTTCTTTATATCATGGTCCTGCCCGTATCGTCTAAACGAGACTTCGGAAAATTTTTTGGGCGCCGGATTTGCGTCGAGCAGGTCAAAATCTATAGGACTGAGCTATTTTTATTACCGACCTTTTTTTATTGTTTACTAGTGTTATTGATGTTTTAAATGATTTTGGGCAAATTTCTTTGTCAAATATGTTGTTTGTTATTGTAGAGAGAGGGCATGAAATGGATTCGGCTATATTTTTTACAGTAGTACTGTTGATGCTATCAAATCCAACAGACTTCTTGTTTTTAAGATTATTTATAGCCAAATTTATTTCAGCCGTGCAGATAGGCGTAAGATACATTAAATACATAATAAACATTAAATTTGTAATTTAATAGTTAACATTAAATTTTCTTTATTAATAATTTTGTTTTCTATAGTTTTTAGTTTGTTATACGAATAGTTCCAATTGATCTGGCAGACATTTTAAGATATTGAATATCCCGATTTTAAGTTTTAACAAATTAAAAAATTGTTGCTTTTGTGACCCTATACATTTTTAATTAAAAAAAAACGAATTATAATTAATATATTATTTTTCTAATTGAGCAAAGGCAGAGTCATAGTAGGTTTATCTAAATAATAATTGTCCTTTGGTCCTGTTTGAAAATAAAAGGATGTAGGTATGGAGGAATGATAAGTGTGTTGGAACGATTCCAGAGGCATATGATGTTTGGTCGAACATATGTTCCTGTAGAATTCGTCCGGATCTGGTGTGCGGTGGCCAGAGTCGTTGGCCTTTAGTGTCTGCTCACCATCACTCCTGCGTCTGCCGCCGACCCCGCGATTCACCTGCCGTAACGAGATGGGATTGGTAGACTAGTCACCTTACCAGTCGACACGCCGGCAACCGAGTCTTCACTGTCTTCAGTTGCTGCTGGCCGATCGAGCAACACCGATTTTCTTTTACTCCTGCTGAAGAAAACACTCGTGCTCGCCGTAACTGAATGGATTCGGTTTCAAAATCCATCAAAAACAACTAATTCCATACATGCAGGATACCCCGTGTGCAAGTGCATTATCGATGCTGCCCTAAGTGTTTCTTCCGTTATGTGATCAAATCTTTTCGGCTCGTTATATAAATTTTATTGGAGAGAAGAGGAGCTGTGCGCGACTGACTGACGTTCTTTAGTGCCACCACTGTTATCATGTGCTGTAGCTCTACGTTGTCGTTGTTGTTTTAAGGCTGATGACATTCCGCTCTTTCAGATTGCCGAAAGGTAAGTTAGTTCAATATACCTACCTACTGCTTGCCTGCTTGCTTTTCCTGTTTGTGTTACGTCGTTGCCGTTTTACCGGCCAGACACAGCACCCATGTCCGATCTACAACGACCGAGATTATAAGTTACAAAACAGATGAGGATGGGAATGTGGTTCGATGCTCGCGGCATAATCCACGTTACTCTAGACATTACAGGGCCACGCATTCTGCGGCGGCCGACACACCTAGGGCCAATGCATATGCATACCTTTTCCCTTCTGCATCGTCTTCTCTGTATTCTTCTTCTTTTTACATACCGATTTAATACATTAATTCCATCACGGAAATGCCTATATATGCAATATTTTTTTAATAATTAGTAATAATTAACGTGATTTTTACTACAGATTGAAAATTTTGCGAATGCGTAAGGATAATATATTTTGACCATTTGCTCTATTTTAAGTATAATTTAAAAATATTTTTTTTTAATCTATCTTAGGTAATATATGTATATATATATATATATATATATATATATATATATATATATATATATAATTGATTACTTTTTATTTTTATTTTTCTTCTGTTTATAACAAATCAATTCACGGAAATGCCTACCTTACGAGGTAATGGAACTGTTTATACATTTATTAATAAATTGTGCAAATACCTTCTTTACTTAAATTGCTAAATTAACACTTGTTTATTATAAACCTATTAAAACATTAAATAATACCTACTTATAATATTTACTTTTATGTCACTACTTATAAGTCATGATTTTTATTACGGTTATATATTATATGGGTATTTTTTTAATTTGAAGAGCTACAAGATCGGTTAAATTAGATAAATATTTCGTTATTACTAGCTTATTAATATAACATTTATAAATTTAAAAAAATTTTAAAATAACTAAACACCTTTCAAAACCAAAAACCGTTATAACTTTGTTCTTCCTGATAATTTTGAAACAAAGTAAGTTTTACTTGTAAACATACATATTTATTTACATTTGTATCCAATTTCGACGCAACTATGTTTCACCATATTTTGTTTTTATAATGCCGCCATAACTTATATAGTTTGATACATCGTTGGATTCCTTGTTTTTTTTATATCTAACCATGTTAAATTCCAATATGACGGCCATAGGAAAAACAAAAGATGATTGTGGTATCTCGAAATTTAGTAGGCGAAAGTAATCACAAATTGGACGAAAATGTAAATAAATAGGTATGTATATTTACAAGTAAAAATTACTTTTTTGTTTAAATTAACAGGAATAATGGTTTTTGTTTTAACAGGTTTTTAGTTTTTTCAAATTATTTGAAAACCAATTTTTAAATGCCATTTTAATAGACGAAACCAAAAATAATAATCTTTGGAAGCAACTACGCAACTTTTGTCTAATTTAACCGACGCTCTTTAAATAAAAAAGATACCTATACCAGTGGCGGCTGGTGGATTTTGGGCACACCCATATCTCAGTTATTAGACATGGGACCCACATCAAATTTATATGAGTTTATAATGACATCATATAGACAAGTTTACACACACATTTAAATTGCAGTTTGCGAAAAAAAGTTGGTTTTTAAGTGTGCCCCCCCAGCCTCCTGCCCGCCCAAATTAAGATATTCCAAATTAAAGAAATAATACACACTTGAAAACTAACTTTTTTTCGCAATCATCAATTTAAATTCTGCTTGCGCAGAACTTGTCTATATAATGTCATTATAAACTCATATAAATTTGATGTTGGTCCCATGTCTAATAACTGAAATATGGCTGTGCCCAAAATCTACTAGACGCCACTGACCCATACATAGAAGGATATTTGGTGCACTCTGTATGCGTATAAACTGGGTTACTTAAGGAAACACATTTAGGAAGACGTTATTTTATGTTAAATGTTTATGCTGTACGGAAAAGTTTAGCAAATGAACCATTATGGTTGCAACCGCCCGTTTCCAAAATATGTTTTGTGATTTCAATACCTATAGGTATGCTTTTCTTCATTAATAATAATTATAATTACATTTTATTTTAATTTTCCTACATTAAGTGTATTTTGAAAACTACCTAATTATGCTGTAAATATATTCCTAATAAAACATACTTTGTAACAGATTTCCGTTTTATCTTGATGTGGGCATAATAAAAAGAAACAAGGAATTTTAAATGCGAATATTATTTCAAAATGCACATTAAATATCTTCTTTTCTATTATTGGCAATAAATTGTTTACCTTAAACACCGATAAATAAATGTGTTAACGGTTTCCAGTAAATATTTCAATAAAATTAGTTCTCGTCAATTTATGAATTTTCTAACTAGTTGTTGGAAGGCTTAAGAAGAAAACAAGCTTCGAAGTTTAAGTATAGTTTATTCGTAAATAATACATTGTTTACAAATTATAGCACGCCTTGTCAAGCAGAAACTACCTACTTCCTTACAAATATTATTTATCGCGCCTTAAATATAATAAAGAAATGATTTGGCATTGTATTTACAATAATGGTACAATTCATAAAACTTTACATTCGAAGAAGTTTTTAACAAAAAAAATGTTTACGCGTCTAAACTGTTAGTATAAGTTTAAAAACCTTAAAAAGGGTTTAAAAAGTAATTCAATGTTTTCAAATCACAAGATCCACCGCCCACTTTACAGAGCCAATTACCAAACCGTTTGCGTCCAAATGATATTGGATATCATTAAATGAAACTTACAGTATGCATATTTTGGTCTCGCGCAGCTGTATTTTTGAGCGTGCTATAAAATTTTAATTTGCTTTTTTTTGGCGACTTTTTAGTCAAGTCTTTTCGCCCCTTTCTAACGCTTTTTCACGTATTTTGCACTAGATTTCCCCAAAGGACTTTTGTCACGGTGACTTAGGAATCTGAATAAAAACAAAAATTTTCATAAATAGAATTCTTGTTCGCAGGACACGTGAAATTTGTATGTTTTTTGAGGCGGCGAAAAAAATCTATAACTTTGAAAATCGATGTCATACATGAGGATTATCTGACACCATACCGACGGCATTCGTTTATAATTTTTTTCATTTTACTTTTTTTAAAGGTTATCAAAATGACGTTTTTTTCCTCTCTAATATTTAAAAATGTCAACATACTTGTTTCGTTGTTTTTAAAAAGTATGTTGTTGCTTTTAAATAGTATGTTGTTGCTTCTAAAAAATGCGTATACCGACGGAGCAAAGGAATGTTCATGCAGATAAATAATATTAAAAACATACCAACTCAGTTAAGTTTTTTATTATTATTTATAAATATAAATTACATAATATTATTATTTATATTATAAAAAATACGTTTTAATAACTAAATAACTTAATTCCTTCTGTCCGCCAACTTATCGTGGACAGAGACAGTGGCGTAGCTAGCCTCGAGTATCAAAAATCTGGTAGGGGCCCTTATACGGGAAAAGTTGAGGGCAAAAAAATTTCTGGGTATCACCCCAAAGTCTATTTTGGGCAAAGACAAAAATTTTTAGGATATCATTTTTTTGCATTTACCAATTTTTATAATTTAATAAATAATATATGTGTACATAGCTCGTTGTGTACAGGCAAATTGGTTTTAGACATTTACCGTTCTTCAATATCTTTTAAAATTTTAAAAAGTAAATAAAGGCAAGTTATTTGAAATAATTGTAACGCTAATAATTATTTCTAATTTGCTATTAATATAACCTATGATAATAACAGGCAAAGCAGACTCAGTATGCGGCGCAGAGCACAGAACAATATGCGCAGACTGCGCCGCAGACAACGCATAGCGGAAAGGTGCGTGCAGAAACAATTCGTATGAGTTCACCGCCTCGTTGGAACAGAAGGGTATTCAGAAAAATTTTAATTTAATAAATCGAAATATAATCAATTAAATAATATTATTTATTTATTTAATTTCATGCCTTTTGTTTAACATCTGGGTAATATGTTTTTTGCTTACGCATGCCGAAGCCAATCGCCCCCCCCCCTAGCCAGTGGCCTCGTATCATTGATACGGCTGATACCGTGGTAGCTACGCCCCTGGACAGAGAGTACATGATTTGGAATCTTTATTTAAAAAAATGTATCCTCTTGAATCTAAATCTTTTTGCCACAAACACATTTATACATCTGTTGATTTATCCTGATTATATATAATTATAATTATACCGCATTGTCTGTTATTATTCAATTAACAAGCAATCTTAGTGGCAATTGTTGCGAACCAAGTGTTCAGGAAAACTTTGATTTACAGCCTTGTAAGTAATACATACGTACGTGATATTAACTAAAATTACACGTTTTAGTTTTTTTGGCTACCAATTAATCCAAAAATAAAACAAGTTTTATTTTAAACGTTTTTGGTCAATTTAATTAAGTTTATGCTAAAACATTTAATTTAGATAGAAACAATACCAACCAAAACAAAGCTATTCTCTAAAATTTAAAGACGTAAATTTGTATAACATATGCGTTTGATACGAATTAGAACGTAACTAATTTACAACAGAGAAATAGTTAATAAAAAGTAACTGTTAAGAAGCACGAAATATTTTTATATCAATTAAAATTATTCGGAATGAATCTTGCTTGCCATATGCGCATAATAATACATAAACGGAACATTATCTTTGCGTTTTACAAAAATAATTTTATACGGGTTCTTAAAACACACTTTTCTTTGCATAATTAGATAAATTTAATTTAATTGCAATAACTGTGGTATTAATGAAATTAATGCATTTGAATTTTTATTACATCCACCAGATTTTTAGGATACATGGTATCCTATTTAGGTACAATCTTCGGTTTATATAACTAGATTAGAAACTTATTGGTACAGATTCTTTCAAATATTTAAACCAAGGTAAAACATTAAGTCAAAAGGAAGATACCAAACTTAGTGCGTTCTAAATATAAAAATATTTAAAAAAATATTTGTATTTACAATTGTTAACATATTTTATTTATTCCGCTACTAATAATGTTTTTAAAATATC